CTAGCATCAGGAAAAGCTCCTCTTGGACCTCTGCATGGTGTGCCTGTCTCTCTCAAAGATACTTTTAGGGTGCGTGGTTACGATGCTTCTATTGGCCTCGCAGCCCTTTGCTTCAAGCCAGCGGAAGAAAACTCAGTCCTGGTCGATTGCTTGCTGGGCGCTGGAGCAGTTTTGTACTGCAAGACAAATGTACCCCAGACGCTCATGGCTCTGGACTCCCACAATAATGTCTTTGGGCGCACTATCAATCCACTCAATACCGCTGTAACTGCTGGTGGAAGTTCAGGGGGAGAAGGAGCATTGATCGCAATGCGCGGCTCGGTATTAGGTGTGGGTACAGATGTTGGCGGTAGTATTAGGATACCAGCCATGTGCGATGGAACCTTTGGTATCAAACCTAGCTGGGAACGCATACCTTACGCCGGCCAAGAGGGTGGTATGCTGCCTGGAGCGACGAAAATTGGTATCCCAGCCAGTGCTGGGCCGCTCGCCCACACTATGCGCGACATCGAACTCTTCTTTTCCGCAGTATCGACACAGCAACCCTGGGGAATGGACCCGGATGTCGTGCCATCACCATGGTCTTCCTTGTCCACAACACGAAAGAAGTTGAGAATTGGTGTCGTCAGAAGAGATGGAGTCATCGAACCGCATCCTCCAATCCTGAACATCTTAGATGAAGTCAAAGACAAATTGAAGAAGTCCGGAACTGAGGTGGTTGAGATGGATATCACACCACTTTTCTCACAATGCCAATCCCTCGCTAACGCACTTTTTGGTGTTGAGGGCGGAAACGCAATGTTCGATATCCTGGAGTCCTTCAAAGAGCCTCTCTCACCTTGGTTATCCACACGGCTCAAGCGTAAGAAGCCCATGGAGCTTCTCAAAGTCCAGCAACTCCACGGTAAACGTGAGCAGTTACGAAAGAAGTTTTTGCAGATCTGGAAAGACCAGCATGGCGAGATTGATGCCTTTATCTGTCCTGTTGCGCCACATCCTGTGCCGCCCATTGACCGCTACAATGGTGTTAGTTACACTAGCTCCTTCGTGCTGTTGGATTACCCGGCGGGTGTTGTGCCAGTAAGATCATTCGGAACGGCAGATATGGAGGGAGAGATGGCGGACACGAAGCCATTAGGCAGCTGGGATAAGGCAAATAGAGAGCTTTGTAAGTAGTACCACTGGACTGGCGAGTGCTGAAAGCACACCGAGTTGCTGTATGGCTAACATTTTCTTTAGGGGCTGACTTCGATCGATCGATCTACCTTGGAACACCACTTTGCGTACAAGTCGTTGCACCGAGGTTGCAAGAAGAAAAACTTGTCCAGGCTATGTCTACTATCGACGATGCGCTAAAGGGCTCAACTCGACTTGACGCGAAACTGTAAACTCATGGTAATGACAACTATTTGGCGCATCTCTTATCATGTGTCGCTCCGAAACATCATCCTTCAAGCCTTGTTTCGGGAAGTGGCAGCTCGAGCCATGTTATCTTCTTCGCCACCAGGCGCTTATCGTACTTCGAAACTGAAGGCCATCTCCTTTGAATCCTATAGTCATTCTTCACAAGTAAACTCTGCACATGACAATAAGCGAGCGAGGCACCGAATCTATATAGAAAGGCAGGTGAACACAGACTTGTCACATGATTGGAAAGACCTGAATTACAGTTGTCCTTCAAGGCTTACAGCCTCGTCGTCACCCACTTTGTTCACGCTAAGCCGCTCTTACCCATCTCCTACAAAAGTAGCGAGAAGCTACGAACGTGCAACTCCGAAGAACATCGGCCCGCCATGTGTCGTCTATCTTCGCTTACCCCTCCCTCGCACTACTCCAAATGAGGCGTTATCTAGCGAACTTCGACGTAGATGATTGGCGGATGTGCTTCCACAGATTACCACTAATCGATTCCAGAAACAGGGGTGAGCGAGATAGAGCATTAGAGTAGGCAGTGGACACGCATGTGTTGGCAAGGGTAGACGATGCATGGCATGTATGGTAATTGTAGGTTATGGGTCGTCAGCACTTATGATCCATGGCCAAGGGCGGCACAGGCACAGTAGCTCGACCCACTCCGCAAATTAGTACTTATGGGTATCGAGGTAGAACGTTACATTCTCTGTGTGTCTATGCACGTTTCTGGGGCTGAGCGGCTTGTGACAGCGCGATGTTGCTTCGAATCACAACATTCGCCTACCCCAGTTGCTGTACCGTCGCGTCATTAGGCGAAGCAATAACATTTACGACAAATTCAAGACGGTAACTATATCCACTTTCTTCCCTCTCCAGTCACTAGCTCACGCGACAAGTATCAATCAATGAGCAAAGACACGCGTAAACGACGGACGGTATGATTGTATCGTCTAGTAGGAGTGAAACTCATATTGTGGAGGGGGTATAATACACAATGTAAGCTTGCAAAAAGCTCATTCTTATGCGGTGAAACTCAGCACTTTACGCCCCTTCGTAACTAATCCAGGCGTTCAGTGATAGCACACCGCGATGTTACACCGCTCGCTACACCTAGCCGTAAACAGTCCATCAATGTCAATGGTCTGCAGCGACTACTCTTCTGGCTATCCCCGATCATTCGTAGTGCAAGAAAGAGACGCTCTACGCCCTGAAGCCCAAACTCTTTCCAGATAAAAAAAAAATATAGTACCCATACATCTGGAGCACTCCTATAACGCCATGTATATTCGTTTAACACCTGACCCGCTTGATGCAAAGCATGATGAGAAATCTAATGCCATTCTAGGCCTTTTACGCTACTATAGCCTAGATGGCTGCAAGGTCGTTGAGCGCATAGCTCAACTCTCGCCTCGCACCAAGTTCATCAACGCCGTCATGCGGCCGGTAGTGGTGTGTGACAATTCGCACTGTTGCTCTGTAAGTTTTGTACCTATCACGGTTAGTACTGCGACCCGCTAATTACCCGCGCCACCACTCACATGAGCATTCTGGTCCTCGCACTCGCAGTCTTGACCGGGTAGTCCCCTAAGCCCGCAAAGAACGCTTCGTTGCCATCCGCCATACCGCCGCTCATCAGCGGATCGCCCCAGATGACGTTTGAGAAACCAACCAGACCAGCGACCTGCTTAGTACGCTCGTCGATAAGCACGTTTTCGGGGTCACATACGTTCAAGGCCACAAGACGCGGCTCAATGACATCTTCTAGGCATTGCGCGTGCTTGCCGACCCAGAATCGTATGCTTTCAGAGTGTGCGTTGACGAGCATATCTTCCGCGTCGCGGATTGTTGCTTCGAGGAGAGCGAGGAAGGCCTCGCGCCAGGAATTGCTGCCCTTTTTGGCGAAGACTCGGTGTGTCATGCCGAATTGGGTTGCTGACAGCGTAGTGAGAGCGCGGACATGAACACCCAGTGTTTGGTCGATGGAACTTCGTTCGCTGGCTGTAAGATACGGCGCAAGTTCCGAAAGCTTGCGACCGGCTATGTGGCTCATCATGAGAAATGGTGTGCCGAGAGGTCCGCCGTGACTATCATACTTGATGAGTTGGGGGACAGGTATTTGTGTGTACTCGTGTAATGTCTCGAGCGTCTTCCGTTCTGTTTCCAGGAGGTGTTTCTCGTGCCGGAGGAGTCGCACGTTGTAAGGTGGTGGGCATTTAAGCGTTAAACAACTACCATCTTCTAGTCTTGTGAGGTAAACTTGATGGAGGCATCTTTGTAGAACTTCAACTTGCTGCACAGTGATTTTCGAGGATCGGAACACTGATCTGATCACCCTCTGTATGCTAGGAAAGTCGAGTGTAGTGATGGCAGTACGTGAAGATGTTGATGAAGACGACGAAGATGATGAGGTTGACGAAGAGGGCCGAGCGTGCTCTAGAGCATACGTACCACGGCTCATACTGGTGAAGGGATAGATTGCGACATCCAGCGGGGGAAGATGCATTATGAAGAGTTGGGTAGCGATGTACTAGATTCAGGCGGGGCTTAGCGTGATCCGAAAGTGGAGGCCGGGAGCTTGTGGACTGCTGCATGTCAGGGACTCCCTAAGCATTAAGAATGGCCCGATGCTACATGAACAACTTCTCATAGTGTTCCTTTTACATCGTGTCGACATAGATCGATCTGGTTGCAACAGATTTTCCGATGTACGTCGGGAAGCAAAAGCATCGTAACGCCAGACCGAGCAAGACCGAGTATGCTGAATTCCAGTTGATGAAACCATTTCCTTCGTTCGGCCAAACCGATTCGCATCACAGTCGACACATAGTAGCACTTCTACAAATTCCAATCATTCTATAAGCCACCTCGACTACCCTCTCGTTTATCCCCTGCTTAGCGGAAAAGCAAAAGTCATTCATGCGTGTACGGGGCTTGTAGGCAAGCGCCTTCTTTCTGGGCGGATAAGGCTAGCAAAGCCGGAGAAGGACGCGAGAGGCGTCCAGGCTGGCGTTCTCACCGTTCGTTAAGAGCACCTACAAGCGGTTAGGCGTCCGGTAAGAATGTCGCCTATCGCGTGTCATGATTGGCTATGCAGAGGCAAGGTTCAAGGATGCATCAATGATTAACGTCTCTCGATAGCACATGCTGATGGAAACTGAGAGACGGTAAGTGACCACGTGAACATGAGTGTGGTATGAGAGAGCGGAATGTTGTGATCAGCGCAACGTCAGGCTGGTATGGGGCCTCCGTTCGCTCGGCACAATCTGTTACAAGGACCTGGCCAGTCAACTACTTCCACACCATCGACGCCCTTCCGTCATAATGGTGGCGGTCCGTGCAAGCCCTAAAATATACACCCGACAGATCGGAGACGAGTCGCAGTAGAACGCTGGGTCTCAGGTCAGCATCTGAATAGCTGTTGTACCTCCTCCGATGTTTCACCAGTCGTCTGCTTCATCCCAAGGGTAACCATCAATGCAAGCCATAGTGGCCCCGATCGGAGGTTTATTCGGTTTGTGGACAATGTTGCGCTGGGCGTTCTAGCCACGAGACTGCTACCCCACGCAGCACATCCGTTCATCTCCTTCTCAGGCACTATTGTTTTTGTTGATCTTTCCCGACTGATCGTCGGTTTCTGGTTTGACAGAAGACAATGGCTGACGAAGCTCTTCAATGTTGAAACGTTTGAGCTTCTCAAAGTCAGGCCCAACCACGCTCATACCCAAGACATTCTATCAGACGTAAGCAATTACCAGAATCTCATCACACCGTGCAGCTAAGACGCGTGACTACCACAGGGGGGCATAACCGTACCTTGTAAATCTCTACAAGAATAAGGAGATCATAATTTTTGAGGTCGACTTTGTGCCCGGGACCAACCGCAGCTGCAATTGTGTTGATGACACCGTCTCTCAAAAACTCCTTGTTATTGCGTATCGATGGACGTATTGCAAACTTGGGTCGACGTGCATTAGCGAAGATCTTTACACGACGAGGCTGCATCATCTAATAGAAGGAGCTTGTACTCACCTTCTTCCCCGCTTGATCTGCGCCATGAAAGTGGGGTGCGAGGACTTCTTTCGCGACAGCTTCAAGACCCTGAGGAGTAGCCTTATCTGTTGCAGTGATGGGTGTTAGTCGCTTGACGTAACGTAAGTTCTTTGGCTGTGCGCCATTTGCAATATCCTGACAGATCTTATGAACAAACGTGACAGGTTCGATAGGTGAGCGTGTCCTGAAGAACATCACTTGGATTGGTCAGCATGAACTGTCATAAGCATGGTTGGCAATCCTTACAGCATTGGGTATCGAGCTTGAGGGATGTGAACAATGGCTTTGTGGTCGGCTTGCGGATATCGGCGAGCTCTTTTTTGATCTCAGCTTCAATATCACCTCCTTCGGAATCAGAGCTGTCCTCTGCAGCCGTGCCATTGGACTCGGCCGTGCCATACAGCGTAGTAGCGTACTGCCACTAATCAGCATCGTCGGTCGTACAACTCGATCGCAGTGCAATATTAAGATTTTTTTTACCTCTTGGAACAAATCTCGAAGGTCAGAGACGGATTTTGCTTCCTTCTTCATAGCACATGTTGCCCATATGCCCGCATCACCGGGCTTGATAGCACGAGATTGGATCCCACCCCTACGGGGCATATCCCAGTTTCTTTTGCCCTGAGGTCTTACATCAGCCTGATAAAGATCACGGCAGCAGCTGCATGACGAAAATAGAACTGTAAGGCCAAGACTGCAAGGACGGTCGGAGTTTTGACAGTCGCACGAAGAAAAGGACTTACCTTAGCTCTTTTCTCGTCGCCATCTTGCCGTTCGCGAGGCTCAGCTTTCCGCTTCCTTGGGTTGTTGTCTGCTCCAGACATTTTTTTAATGCCAGATCGAGCGCGAGAGTGGGGGTGATGTGATGATGGTAGCTGGGAAAGTCGCGTCGAAGCCACTGAACAAGGAAAAAGAGGCTAGGCTTGTTTCATCCACTAGCGTGGTTAGTTCCGCCCAGGCTATGTCTCCCCTTTTCGTGTTCTCTCACCTCGTTGGATCCATCCACCAACACCACCGAGATACACTCCTGAGGTGGAGTCGATATCATCCGAGTCACCTTGTTCCGAGTTGCATATCGGCGACGTTGGATGTCTGGCGCTTCAATGACGCATCTAAAGCACCTCATACCCTGTACACGATTCCTGCAGTAATGCCACACCATCAATTTATTCCCCTTGAATTCCGACGGGCGCTGCCGCTAGACATCCCGCAGCTCTTGTATCGGACAAAAGCCAGATCATCTCGACTCAGATCGTGGACGCTGTCAAATGCGAGCCTGCAGCTTGTGTGGTACACGAGGCCGAGGGCCTTCGGCGATGGCTTGCGCCGAACATTCGGCTTGCTTTTCATCTATCAATAATCATCAGGAAAGTGTGTTTGCGATGACGCCGCAGCGTGGGACCTACCAGAATCAGAATCTACTGGTGCCTCGGAGTTATCGACATTTTGACCTATGGCAACGATGATACGAAGACGCGAAAGCTGCTATGCATAGTCACGACGAGATCTACCCGCGTATTTCCATAGCGTGGCCGAACGATGGTGGCATTCAACCAGAAGACCTGTCCCCAAAAGAAACATATGGGAAGTTCAGGGGCGTCTTGCGCGTGCCGTGGGTGCTGATTCACAGTACCTGACAAACCCGGTTTTTTAGAAGGACAGTAGCCTAACTGTACCACTTTGGCGAGAAACCCCAGGATACGATGAAAATACGCTCACACTCGATCCGGATTTCCAGTTCTACATAGACAAGCATTTTAGAGCTATGTACCACATGATCGAGACCCAAAAGCGAAAGATCTTATTTCGTCGCTTAATCGCCGCTCGACATACTTAGTTGTGGTACCAAGTCTACTAGCTTGGCAAGTCCCGCAACAGGACACTTCCATTTCTGTAGAAGTTTCGTCACAGTTATGTGCGCATCTTGGGCTTACCTGAAGGATGAGATACCGAAACGATAGATGACAAAGTTCACGATGACATTACTCAGAGTTGGGAATAAGGTGCTCAGAACTAAATCTTGACTCTCGGGTATTAAAACGATTACCTGAGCACTGGCTTGATCGAATTGAACCACGATATGTCATTCTCTTCTGCTTTGCTCGTTCTGGCTTCAATGGTGAGCAGGGAGAACGTTTCCATTGCGCCAACAGTTCATTTTCTGGAGTTCCCCAAAGGTTGTACCAGAGCTTTTCTACATTGATGGCATTACAAAGTCTGAGTAGTCCAGATAGCGCAGGACTCACACCGCCGTCGGTCATGCCTGAGTCAGATCTATTGATAGAAGCCATGCTAACTTACATCAGCCTCATATTCACCTCGACCACCATCATCGCATGCTAGATCTCTGATTCTGCATTGCTAGAGCTCGAGAAAAAGCAAGTCACCCTGATACCGATTTCCTCAAAGTCGTTCATCTTCCTCCCATGCAATGGGAATAGTCTGCCGCTGCGTACGTGTTTCTTTCCAAATCGTCACGTCTCTTAGCCTCCTTACGTCATGCGCATTCATTTCGATTGTGTTATCTTCTCCATTCGTGAAAAGAAAAGTTGACAGATTCTGAAGTTCAATAACATATTCTAAAGAGACTCTGGTGCATGAAACCCAGCGGTCACAGATTCCACATGCTTATTTTTAAAGTAAGCACTATGGTCACTGCCCGGCGCCTTGAACGGCCAGTCTTTGTACGCTTTCACAAGCTCGATGATCATCTCGTTCGTCAGCATCCTCACCCTAAGATGTTCCATTTGTAATCGGCCACCCTTTTCCGGGTCCTTCAAGGTAGGGCACTCGTTTATAATATCGCTCAGTCCGTGCTGCATCTTGTCGAGGGCAGCATTGACACCATCCTTGGGATGTGCGAAAAGTCCGAACATAAAGTCTGTTACCCATTTGTGGAAGTCTGGGAATTCGGAAACGGGCTTGGGAGTGGGTTCGGAGAAGACAAGGGACAGGCGATTCTGAGGCCAGACTTCATCGTTGCGCATCACGAAAGGTTCGTAAGGGCGGGTGTCCCATTGTAAGTGGAAGGAAGATGGCGATCGTATGGAGATACGGTCATCGAGTTCTGCTACGGATGCCATGGCGTAGTTTGCGTTCTGGCTTTGAATGCCCTGATCCCACTTCGTGTTCAGTTCGGCTAACCTAGCCATTGCTGAATCCTTCTCAAGGCCATCCTGCATGCCGAGGATCTCGCATTCGAGCTTGTACATTTCTTCGCCAATGTCTGCAATGGCCGATGCCAACGCTTTGTTTTTATATGCCTGCTGTTGAGAAGCGAAAAAGTTGTGCGCGATTCTCATCTTGGCCTTGTAGGGGTGATCAAGAGGTACTTTTCGTCTTTTTTTCCTTGTAGCAGCTTCCTCTGCTGGAACAAATAGTTCTATTTCCGGATGCTTCTCCGCAATGTCTTTCAATGCTTCGTAGTTTTCGATGGTGCCCGAGGGAAGCAGACCAACGGCGCTCTTGCCGGCTAGGTGTTGGTCGCGGAGATATTCCTCCATTTCAGCATGGCTGACTATACCTGTGCCGTTGGATGTTCGCTCAATATCTGTAGCAAAATCATGAATGTTGTCGCGTCGGTGTGGTGGAAGTTCTATGCCGTGATTCCTTCCATTCGCCATAGCACGGACGGTAGTCTCAATCTCATATTGCGGGTTACGGCCCGAAGAAGCTCTACCCTTGTTGCGTGGGGCGCGCTCTGCGGTCACAAAGAGTTTCGTGTTCTGTGTCATCTCCATGATACGAGTCGTCTTCTGCAAGATACCGATAGATTCGGGAATAATAGAAGCGTAATCATTGTTTTGTACCCAGAATAATGTGCGCACGAGTCCAAAGGCATGGAACAGGTCATTCGCCCATGCGGCGGAGCTGAAGTGATAGGCGAGCTGTTTCGCCATCGAGTCGAAGCCAAGACCGGGGAGTGTTGGGTCCCAGACGAGGGAGCCTGTAACTAGCAGCGTGTTGTTTGGCTCCTGTGCTCGGGGGTCGTCGGCATCCAGCACGGTCTGATACGGGAATACGCCATTTGTCACCAAGTCGCGGTATGTCTGCAGTACGGTTGGATCTCCGTCGACGAGCGAGTACTTGGAGCCGGGCGCCGTGAGGAGAGGGTCGAGAAATTCCTTGAACTTGTCATGGCGTTGTTCGAGGAGCACGTGGCTTCGCGGTTGGAGGTATTGGTGCAGCTTTTGCGACCAGAGCCCAGCGCCAGGATTGATATCGAGGATGTCGCAACCTTTGTACTTGTCTAACTCGTGACCGACATATTTGAATACGTCGTCTGGCAGTAACTCGTGTCAGTTCGCCTCTATGAAGAAACATTCGGGACTTGACGTACCGCATAGGTCAGGACTTACGATCTGTGTTCTGACGTGGATGCCTCCCGTTGTTACCGCTTTCTTCTCATTTCGTGTTTTCTTCCTCCTCGTTTTGACCTCTTTGTCAGGATGTATTACCTTCGCGACAGCTAGGCTCAATGGATATTTGTGGCTTATTGATAGTTTCTCGTCGCTCCAGTATTTCTCCTTGCCGACGCGCCCGCCCTTAGGAGTGGCCGCCGCCGCCTTCGCAGCTAGTCGTGTCTGGTTCCATTGTCTGGCGACTGTATTCACTCGCCAGGTATTGCGCGGTATCACAGGGTGTATGCGGAACATCAAGGCGCGCGAGGTTGTTGCTCTGGCCTGAAAGTGACGTCGAACAAGTTTCGCCGCGGGGATCCCGGCCGTTTTGAGATAGCGTACCCATCTCCACGTGCTCACGCGTTTTGCGGCTCCAGCTCGGCGAGAGCGTCATGAATGCCGTAGTCGCCTAGGTAGGTGCAATTGAAACATGAGCATCGGACGAGCTCAGCATCGTCAGTCGATGACGCCTTTCCCGCCAGATTCTGGGGCGGGGGTCTCAAAGTGGAAGGTGGCGCCAGCAAGAACACACACAATGAGGCCTCCAGAGCAGCTTATATACACCACCTCACGTTTTCATCATGCTGCAGACGAGTAGCGACTTCCTCATTATAGGTGCTGGAACATGGGGGTGCTCTATTGCCCTCGAGCTCGCTCGCCGTGGTCACACCTCCATCAAAGTCGTTGACGGCAACCCATTCCCCTCTGCCATTTCTGCCGGCGAAGATCTCAACAAGATCGCGGAAGAGAGCAACGAGCCGTTCGACTCCGACTCCGAAGAAGATTTCTTCTGGAACCGGCTGACCCAGCTTGCGATGCAAGCATGGAAAACGGATCCCCTCTTCTCGCCTTTCTACCACGACACCGGTTTTATCATGGCCGCCGTGGGCGATGAAGCATTTGAGCGATGTATAGAGTATGCCAAACGCGAGAAGACACTCCCTGTGGCCTTGAACACAAAGCATGATTTCCAAAGGACAATGCCCGAAGGAGTGCTTCAAGGTGACTTCCCAGGCTGGAGGGGCTTTTGGAAGAAGGAAGCTGCAGGGTGGGTGTTCGCTAGTGGGGCTTTGAGGGCTATGCATAAAGAGGCTGTTAGATTGGGCGTGCAGTTTGTGACTGGTAGCATGGAAGGAAGGGTTGGCGAGCTCCTTTATAGCCCAGACAAGAACGCCGTGCTGGGGGCGAGGACCACAGACGGTGCAGAGCATAAGGCTCAGCAAACCATCTTGTCGGCTGGTGCGAACAGCGACCTACTCCTAGACTTCGAGCGACAGCTTCGACCCACAGCGTGGACACTCGCACACATCCCACTCTCCGCCGAAGAAGCAGAGCAATGCCAGAACTTACCTGTCCTCTATGGTGTGGATCGAGGTTTTTTTATTGAACCGGATGTTGAGAGACATGAAATGAAGCTCTGCGAT